ACAACTTCCCAATTAATTCTAAAGCCTCTTTCTCTATTCTTGAGTGTTCTTAAAGCCTTGTTCTTATTTTTCTTACACTTTTGAGTAAAAAGCTTTCATCTTTTTATACACTCACACACAAGGGCATTTGTGCTTCATTATTTTATATCTTGCCTATAGGCTTTTGTTGTTGTTGATTTAATCTTTTGTTCTTCTCCTACCCAACTTACATTTGTTATCATTTTGGTAGAGAAGCAACACCAATCTTTTTATTGATTTGTAAAAGGTGTGGATAGCCTCTAAATCCTCATTGTAAGGTTGAAGATAGCCTTAAAATCTTCGGTTGTAAACGGTTGAGATAGCCGTAGTAAAATCTCATTTGCTTATTGGCAAGGGTTGTTTGCCAAACCTCGTTTGAGTCTTCTTAGTGAAGCCAAACAAATTAGTGGAGGTTAAATCCTTGAGGAGGAGCCTCGAGGTACTGGAGTAGGGAGTTCCCAGACAAGTATAAAATCGCCAGTGTCGTATTTTTTATCCTTTATATCCTTCTTGCTCTTTTTCCGCTACTACTTTGCGCATAAGTTTTTGTTTTCTACGAAAAATTTGCAAACACCCTAATTCACCCCCCTCTTAGGGTGTAAACCGACTTTCATCTACCTAGGGTGCTGCCCGAGTTGTACCCTCAACAAAAGGGGTACCACGACCTCGACAATCAGCTTCAAGCGTCAGGTATATGGTCGTTCGTCTCCAGGAGCCGTCAGTCCTACAATCCCGCCTTTGTTCGAGCCTTCTACTCAAATCTCCGCCGGGATGGGGACACCATCCGCAGCAGCATCAATCTCTACGACATAGAGATTGACTTGCCGACCTTTGCACGGATCGCAGGGCTGCCCATTCGAGGCGACGACATCGCGACATATGGTGGCGACGATTGGATCCTCAAAAACAAGGCGGTCATCATTCGTGAGCTTGGGATCACCAACTTGATGTGCCACAACGGCGCACCGACGATTCACTCGGCCCCACCGGACAAGCGCCTCCTCCTCTACATCATCACCCGGATTCTTCGCCCCCGAGACAGCAGCCATACCTCGCTCTTCAACGAGGACTTGAAGGCGATTCACGCAATCATCCACGGCGCCTCCATCAATTGGGCAAAATTCGTCATGATACACATGGCAGATTGCACCTCACTCGCCACCGAGCGGAGCTTGCTGTACGCCTTCCTCGTCATGGACATCATTGTCGCCTCCGACATCCACATCGCCGGACCGGATACGAAGATGACAAAGATTTGGGTCATTCAAGACAGCACCTTCCGGAAGAAGTCCGGAGACCAAGACGACGCCGGACGGAGTCGTGCCCGTGCCCGTGCCCCTACCTGTGCACTTGCCCCCGCTTCTGCCTGGGCCTCATTGCAGTCCATAGCCGATACCCTGAATCAGCTAACCCTCACGGTGGACGACATGGGGCAGTACATGGAGCGGATGGATTGGACATTGCAACGCCAACACCACGACATGACGGCGTTCTTCTGTGGCATCAACTACGTCCCGCCGCCCTTTGACACCACCTCCTATGAAGGCGAGGACGAGAACGAGGACGAGGAGGATAACTCCTATGCTCCGTCCTCCTCCCCCGACGAAGCCGACTTTGAGGACGCGGTCGACGGGGATCCCATGGACGTTGAGGACGACGAAGAAGATGATGACGCCGATGCCTATACTCTTCTTTTGTCTTCTCTCCTTACTATAATTGTATTTTTTTATTTCCATTCCGTTGTATTCCGCATTTCCCTTTTTAATAAAAGTTTACTTTTAAACTCTAAAGTTCACTTTTAATTCTTTTTGTTAATGTCAAAAGGGGAAAGATATCAAGGTTATGCATAAATTGAGGGGGAATTGTTTTTAAATAAAAATGGCATCTATTAAGGGGGAACATTTTTTTAAGTGTCAAAACAATCCTCATATGCATAACCTCATCTCGTTTGCCATTATCAAAAAGGGGGAAATTGTTGAAACACGGGCTTGTCACGTTTTTCGTACTAAAGCCGTGTTTGTTCTTATGACAAGTTTTGATAATGCCAAACCGCTGTGATCAAGTCGAACATTGAATATACAAGGCAAAGAACGAAGATAAGAGCAAGAGCTAAACGAAGACCAAGAACGAAGACCTTAGTCATAGTATTGAGTCGGTCTTTATTGTGATCAAGACCGACCCAATCTTTACACCTTGGTTTTTGGCATCCGAACCAACCAAGTGGTTTTCAGCATTTTATGATCTTCTTTCACTCTTTGGCATGTTTAAACGGTTCTCCAACAAAAACACATTGAAAACCATCTTTCGCTTTTAGTCGTTTGACAAAAACCACGCAAAACGGCGTAAACTTGGCTAGCCGTGGTTTTTACTCAAATGACGTGGTTTTTAAAGTAACTCACTTGATTTATTAGCCAAATACATCAAATAAGTGTTTCAAACACTTGGTTTTTATTTTGGAGAACTTTGGATATTTTTGGTCGGTATTTGCATCGGTTGGCTAGGCCGTGGTTAAGGCAAAAACCATAGGTTTTTGGCTAACCACCCACCCAGCAATGGGAAGAACATCCCATCGATAGGTAAGCAGCCCCTTAGCCAAACCAACTTCCAGAACCATGCCAAACAGCGATGGGAGGTTCTACCCATCGCTGTTAAAGCCTTGGTCCAACATTATCACAAGGCAGAATGCCCTTACCCAGTGATGCGAAGCTTTACCCATCGATGGGAACCCAGCGATGAGAAGGCTTAACCATCGTTGGGAAGGCATGACCATTGTATGTCATTTAAGGTTGATTCTTTCCATGTTTGGAAGTCAACCTCACACCCATCGATGGGTTGGTGACCGTTGGCTTCAAAACTGGAGGAAAATTGGCCTACCAGCGATGGGTAAGTTCCAAACATCGATGGGAAGCCAATATCCTGCAGATCCTAAATTTTTGCAATCCCATAAATCAAGCCAATCACCTCTTTAATGCATTGGTCCGTTGGAGCCTATTGTTGCACTATAAAAAGGGGTGTTTGGGTCTGCTTTTCTTATCAATTCACTTCACAATATTCATATTATCATTTCATCCAAACAACATTATTTTCCATAGCTTTCTAGAGCCAATTTGTGAAGTTTGAGTTGTTCTTGAGCGTATATAGTTTACTCAACATCTACTCTTAAAGAGAGTCTTGTTGTTCTTGAGTGTTCTCAGTGTTGTAAACATGTTTAGGGAAGCTTGTTTCCCTTGGTTGTACGAAGGAAAGGTATTTTCCTTCGGGTTGAAGTCTTGGAGTGTGGTATCTCCGAGCAAGTGTATTGAGGCTCGTGGGACTCGAGTTCTTAGGTTGTAACGGTTTGTTAACCACCCGTAAGCTTAACAGAAGTAGTGTAGCTCGAGAGAGTCTCTTGGGAGGCTGGATTAGCCACAAGTTGTGGTGAACCAGGGTAAATGTTGGTGTGCTCCCTTTATGCTTTCTACGTTCTTTATCTTTCACGTTATTAATTTTTTATTCCTGCGATTTCTACGATCAAACGCTATTCACCCCCCCTCTAGCGTTGGTCACTTATTCTAACAAGTTGAATGGGGGTGATTGGCACAATTTGTGGGATTTGATTGAAATTGGATCTGCTGAAAATCAGCCTGACAGCGTTGTCCATGACTTGGACATCGCTGTTTTAGGCTTAGATTTTGAAAAATAGGAAGCAACGGTCAATGCCAGCAGCGATGTCCAAACACCCTACATCGTTATTTTGGCTGTTGACTTCCAAACATGGAATGTTTTAGCCATAAATTCCTTCCAATGGTCAGGTGCCTACATCGATGTTCATTACTTGAACATCGCTGTTTAGGCCTGACTTTGAAGGCTGAAGAAATGGCCTGACATCGCTGTTGCTGGGTCAACAGCGCTATCCAAAAACTTTCTGCCAAAGGCATTTCTTTTGGCTTAGGTTGGACATCGATGTAGAGATGTCTACATCGCTGTTCCAGATGTTTCTGGAAATCCAACCTTGGCTCAACAGCGATGTCCATATACCAACATCGCTGTTGGAAGACTTAACACCAAACCATGGTTTTCAGCTGCCCATGCCAGACAACGCTGTTGGTCACTCCAACATCGCTGTTGGGCTGGTGTAGCGAGACCCATGGTTGGTTTAGTCATGCCGTTAGCCGATGTCAAAAATCCAAGTTCTCCAAAATAAAAACCAAGTGTTGAAAATATTTGTTTAAAGAATTTTTCTAAGAAATCAAGTCAAATATCTTGAAAACCACGTCATTTAGATAAAAACCACGGCTAGCCAAGTTTATTCCGTTTCGCATGGTTTTTACTAAACGACAAAAAACAAGAGGTGGTTTTTGAAGCGTTTTTGTTGGAGAACAATTTAAATATTCCAAGAAGTAAAAACCAATCATAAAATGTTGAAAACCACTTGGTTGGTTTGGACGCCAAAAACCAACGCCGATAACCAAATGCCGAATGCCAGTTTCCAAAAACCGAATGCCGGTTTCTGAAAGCTGAACGCTGGATGGCTTGGTTTTTTGGTTTGGGCGAACACCAAGTTTTTTAGGCTTGTTTAAAACTTATGAAAAACATTTTTGAATATGCAAAAGAATATTTTAATGAGATGAGCCTAGAGAGCCAAGTTTAGAAGTTTGTGTCGGTCTTGATCACATTAAGACCGACTCAATTTATTTCTAAGTCTTCATTCTTGGTTCTTGGTTCTCAGTTCTCAATTTATCACGCCATGTTCCTTCGCCTTTGATTTGCTCAGTTTAATCTTGTTATCACGGTGGTTTGGCATTATTAAAACCTGTCATAAAACGAACACAGTTTTGTACGACGTAGGCGTAAACCCGTGTTCCAACATTTAAAACACTTATTTAAAGTATTTGGCTAAGAAATCAAGTGAAACATCTTAAAAAACACGTCATTTAAGTAAAAACCACGGCTAGCCAAGTTTATGCCGTTTCGCATGGTTTTTGCCAAACGACCAAAAACGAAAGGTGGTTTTTAAAGTGTTTTTTGGAGCACTATTTAAATATGCACTGGATTAAAAATCAATCATAAAATGTTGAAAACCACATGGTTGGTTCGGACGCCAAAAACCAACGCCGATAACCAGCGCCGAATGCCTATAACCAACACCAAAAAAGCAAAGGTTATGGTTTTTTAAAAATAATGATTTGGAAAACCTTTTAATGTGTCCAGATTCAAAAACCAAAGATAAAAACCCAAAAACTATTTGTCTAAAATCAATGGCAATAACCAATGCCGAAAACCGAACGATGATAACCGATGGTTATGGTTTTGGTTGGGCAAAACCCAAGGGTTTTATAAACTTAAAACCATTTATGAAAACACTCATTTGATGCATGAAAAACATATTTTGTTTTGAGCCATGACTTAGACAAATTGAATGAACTTGTTACAATAAAAACCTAAGTATGTTGACAACATCTTCAAAACGCCAATGTCGTCGTCTTTAGAAACATCAATGCCTTTCTTGTGCGTTTTGTTCCTTCAAAGAGCTTTTTCTATGACTTTGATTGTTTTCATTTTGTCTCAAGTTCCTGACGGTTTGTCAATATGAAAACCTAAACAGAAACAAGCATTGCCATAAACAAAACATCAATATGAAAATGCTTTCTAACAATTTCCCCCTTTTTTATAATGACAAACCAAGGCGGGGATATGTAGGCCACGTTGGGTTTTCAAAGAGAGAGTAATGGTAATTCCCCCTACGTCTTTGAAAACAAGATTCCCCCTCACTTATTGCATATACCCTAACACTTCCCCCTTTTGGCATTAACAAAAAGCACTAAATAAAGTTTAAAAAATGTACTCCCTGAGCATTGATGTTTAATACAAAATATCATTGTTGTATGTTCCCCCTGAAACTGATACCATGTTTATAGCAAAAACATTTCCCCCCAAACTCCCCTTGATGCAAATTATTAGGTGTCGTGCTTGGGCACTACAAAAATGTAGTTTTCAAACACACCTACATATGCATCTAAAAATAATTTTTAGGTACCAAAAACTTTTGGGTCCTTGAGCATTAGGCAAATAATAATCATAGCTATAAAACAAATCCCTGTGTTTGGTAAAACAAACGGGTGCTATGTGTCCTATCTTAGAGAAATAATGGCAAACTACATTTGGGTTATGCATATGCCTAGGTTGAGCCAAAAATTTTCTAGGTGATTTAAAGTCATTGTTCCTAGAATTATTAATTAAGTTCCTAGACTCATTTCTAGGTTGGCTCAAATTATTCGTATCATTTATAAAAATCTTAGAGTCATTTCTAGGTTGTCTCAACTTATTATTTTTATTCTTTCTAAAATTAATTTTGCTATTCCTAGGATTATTTTTTCTTCTAGGTGGTTTATCATTATTAACTTCTTCACCAAGTTTCTTAGGCTCTTCTACCTTAAGTTTTTCTATGTTGCTCTTAAGTTCTACATTCTCTACTTTTAAAGACTCACAACAGGAACAAGTAGAACTTTGGTCAAAGAAAGAAGCTTCATTCATTGCCTTAATCTTATTTTTAAGGTCAAGATTATCATTTTCTAAAAATTTATTTTCTTCTTCCAAAGCATGAAGTTTAGCCATAGCGTCTTTGGCAATTTTTAAAGCTTTCTTGAATTTACCAAATAGTTCTTTAAAAGCTTCTTGTAATTCTTCAAAAGAAGGAGATTTAGAAGTACTTACCTCTTATTCCTCATTGGCCATGAGGCAAATATGGGTTGCTTCTTTTTATCCTTGTAAAGTTTCGTATTTCTCACGAATGTCATCTCATAGATTCTTAGTCATTAGATATCCGGAGAACTTTTGAAGTTCTTGCGCGTCAATTGCACAAATTAGAAGGTTAAGAGCTTTTGCATCTTGTTCCACCTTCTTGATATCTTCTTCATTGTACTCCTCCTCGAGTTTCCTTACCCTTTTCTTGCCCACCTTCTTCGTTGGGAGAGAAACTCCATTGTTGATTGCCATCCATAGTGTGTAATCAACGGATTGAATGAACATTCTCATTCTTTCTTTCCAATAAGAGTAATTTACTCCATTAAAGAGTGGTGGCCTTGTTAAAGAGTGTCCTTTGCTAAAAAATCCTACGCTCAACATTCTCAAAGGAAATCAAATAAAAATGGATCTTCAGAAAATTAGCCTACCCAGCGATGTATGGAACTACCCATCGCTGGTAAGCCATTTTTCCTTCAGTTTTAAAGACAATAGTCTCCTACCCATGGATGGGTAAGAACTTCTCATCGCTAGGTGGGAGGTTGACTTTCAAACAAGGAAAAAATCAGGCTTAAATACCTTACAACGGTCATGCCTACCCATGGATGGGTAATATCCTCCCATCACTGGGAAGTCACTTACCCATGGATGGGTAATATCTCCCATCGCTGGGTGGCATGGTTCTAGAATCCAGCTCAGCTAAAGGATCACTTACCCATGGATGGGTAATATCTCCCATCGTTGGGTGGCATGGTTCTGGAATCCAGCTGAGCTAAAGGATCACTTACCCATGGATGGGTAATATCTCCCATTGCTGGGTTGATGGCTAGTCCAAAAACCTATGGTTTTTGCCTCAGGCATGGCCTAGCCAACCGATGCTAAAACCCGACCGGAAATGCGAAGTTCTCCAAAATAAAAACCAAGTGTTTAAAAAACTTATTTAAAGTATTTTGCTAAGAAATCAAGTGAAACATCTTAAAAAACAAGTCATTTAAGTAAAAACCACGGCTAGCCAAGTTTATGTCATTTCACGTGGTTTTTGCCAAACGACCAAAAACGAAAGGTGGTTTTTAAAGTGGTTTTTTGGAGAACTATTTAAATGTGCCCAAAAGTAAAAAGAAATCATAGAATGTTGAAAACCACATGGTTGGTTCGGACGCCAACAACCAACGCCGATAACCAGTGCCGAATGCCGATAACCAACACCAAAAAACAAAGGTTATGGTTTTTGAAAAATATTGATTTAGAAAACCTTTAAATGTGTCCAAATGCAAAAACCAAAGATAAAAACCCAAAAACTATTTGTCTAAAATCAATGCCAATAACCAATACCGAAAACCGAATGCCATAGCCGAACGCCGATAACGGATGGTTATGGTTTTGGTTGGGCAAGAACCAGGGGTTTTATAAACTTAAAACCATTTTTGAAAACACTAATTTGATGCATTAAAAACATATTTTGTTTTGATCCATGACTTAGAGAAATTGAATGAACTTGTTACAATAAAAACCTAAGTATTTAGACAACGTCTTCAAAACGCCAATTTCATCGTCTTTAGAAACATCAATGCCTTTCTTGTGCGTTTTGTTCCTTCAAGAGCTTTTTCTATGACTTTGAGTCTTTTCATTTTGTCCCAAGTTCAGGACGGTTTGTCAATATCAAAACCTAAACGGAAACAAGCATTGCCATTAACAAAACATCAATATGAAAATGCTTTCTAACAGAGAGGTGCTGGAATTCGCACCATCTAAAGAAGTTTTACCATTGAATATTTGAAAAAGTTGTGCTAGGTGTGTGTAATTGAAATCTTCTCAATGGATGAATGGAAACTATTTTCAGTTAAATTCCAATGAGTGGAGTTAACTAATGGTTTTGGGCGACCGGTCTTGATGTTTGGAATCGGATCGACGTATGAAAAAAACCTTGAGATAGGGGCCTTGATGTTTGAGGTATTGCTTTGAGATAGGCTGGACTTGGAAGAGGGTTCCCATCCATACTAAACATGGATCCTGACTAGTTTTTTACTAGGAAGGGAAAAAAAGATACCAAAAAATGATACTGTTTCATGAGACTATCGCTTGTGGATTGGAAATCCTCTTTCTAAAAAAGATGGAATCTTTCAAACACATAATAATGTTGGGTTCTACGCTTGGATAGGGCAGCGGAATTATAAAAATTTTGGTCCAAACAAAGATCCACCCAGGACCTCTTATGATTATTATAAGTTATTGTTTAGAAATATACCTTTCTTGGGGAGCAAGCAACGATATGTGTAGGTTGATGGATTGATCCAAGAGCTAGCCACAAAAGTATATGACCTCCAGTTGAGACACACGAACAATGAAGAGTGTTCTAGAGAAAATTATGCTAGTAATTTTTCTCTAGAATATTTCTAAAATCTAAAATATTTGGTATAAAGTATTAAAAGAACAAAACAATTTTTTCTCTCTTAAAGTAATGCTAGGGCCGAAATTCTCATCACAAAAAGGGGTGGGATGATCTCCTATTTATAAGGAGCATAATCCCCATTCCTATTCCTAATGGGAATGTACCTTTTAGAGTTTAGGAAGGAAATCAAATCCCATTCCTATTTAACTTAGGAAATTTCGAATGGCATTTTAAGGAAGCTTCTAAATTATTTTGTCAACTTTAATTATCATATAATTAACACAAAATAAATAATATAACATTTATTATATACATATATACAATATATATATATATACTTACATATTATATATATATATATATATATATATATATATATATGGTGATACATATATAAGTATATATACACACATACATATAAATATAAATATAATGTTATATTTTGTTCCTTAAATAATATTTTACAAACTTAATTATCATATAATTAAAATGTCCAAATATCAAATTTATATAAATATATATTTTGTGCCTTAATAATAATAAAATAATAAACAATGTATTATTCATATATATTCGAATATATATATATATATATATATATTATTAATTATATTTGACAAACTTAATTATCACATAATTAAAATGTCCAAATGTAAATATTTATTTATATATATGTTTGTATATTTAATCATATTGTCATACAATATAATATACACTATATATATATATATATATATAATATATATATATATATATATATAATGCAACTTTACTCCACTTACGTATTCTACACTTTCATATATTCTATGTGTGTGACCCTATTCTAGGAATCTATAAAATTGGCCATAGTATAGAATACTACAAGTGATAAGCGGTATTTAGCAACACATTATCACCCCCAAATTATAGATTAAAGCTCTTAGAACAATTCCTTCAACGACACATCCTATTTGTATAACTCTTATCCCTTTATCACTAATATCTTGATTTAACACAAGGTGTGGGGTGTGTCACTTTGTTAAAGTTAAATCGGTGGTTTACTAATTCTTCGATTGACTTGTGGGATTCAAATAACATATTTATTTGGGCATGGCCATGCCCTTTCCAAGTCACATCAATCGGTGTGCCCTAAGATATTATACTTCATTAAAGAAGGGATAAATTTTATCTATGTCATTCACATCTTTGCTTAAGTTTCATTGCATACCCAAAACATAACTGTACATCCACCAATATTTAAGATGACATAAATCATGTTTCAAAGTATACAACTCAACTTACCAAAGAAAGTAATGACTTCGAGTCGAAGGATAGTTATACTAACGGTTGCATGAGAATAATATTAACACTTTAACTTAAACCCATATATTATTCTCATAGCGGGTCGATCCAGCAATATATCCAATATGTTTGCCTACGTATAGATTCAGATAACACTTCATCTATAGCCTATGAGACACAGCTATCTCATCTCATACGTATTAGTCTTGATATATTATGATGTCCGTATTGTCATAATATTCGACAAAGGATATTTTAGACGTAACCTCTATCTTTGTAACAGCCTCACAATCAAAACGTCGTAGTTCTCATCTATGTTACTAGAGTGCCTACTCTATGGACTAAAACTATGTTTAAATCACACGAGACGACTTAAACAATCTTTAGGGCCTATTGTTCTTGATATAACATAGATATGGAATCATAAGTTGGCCTCTAGGGCTCACTTATATTCAACAAATACATGGTCGTGTAGATTGGAAGCATGCCGGTTCTCACTAGCATACCCCCCTTGGGAAGATTAGATGGGCTTGGTCGATCTAATAAGGTAAAAAAGGAACAATAAAAAAAAATTAAACCCGAAGAGGGGCCCTGGAGCAAGGGTGATGCCTGGAAGAGGGCAGGAGCTTGGAGAGGGATCACGGTCATAGTACATGATCTTCGTTCTCCAATGTTAGCTAGGTTGTGATGTGGGGACTTAGATAAACATTACCCAGGTAAAATTGGATGCCCAAAATTAAAAGAAATATTGGATGCCCGATTAAGTCAGACCATCACGCATGTGTGGACCATGTAGGTGACTAATTCGAGAAGAAGCAAGACGATTGGTGACTTGCAGATTTAAAAAAAAATGCCAGGTCCAGACCGGAAGCGATCTGAGGAAGGACACTGAACGATTTTATTAGCAGACCGGTCGTAGAGTACCAAAAGTAAGGAGAACGCGGGGACGAGTCCATGTGACCGGTAACCATTTTTAAAATTTGACCGGTCAAATTTTGAAGATTCTAGAAACAAAGTTTGGAAAATTTGGCCCGTGACCGGTCACCATTTTAAAAAAGTGACCAGTCACATATTGAAAATTCCGGAAATAAAGTTTGGAAATTTTGGCCCGTGACCGGTCACCATTCCGACATGGTGACGCGTCACATTTTTAAAGTGATGAGATCTTTTTTGGTTCGTGCCCAAGGGACACCGGTCATGTAACACCCCAACCCGCATGACCCATACCCGTGAGACAGCGGACCGGTGTGCCACTGAATTGGTATCCGAATTTGCGACATTTTCAGAACAATTTTAAACAAACGTTCTATCAATACATATAAAAATCCATCGGAGTAATTTAAAATAATGCGGAAGCCTTTTTAAAGTCAAATAACTTGGGATCTTGCCCGAAAACGTAATAAGCATTAAAGTTAATTAAATAAAGCATAATCAACAAATTAAAGAGACAACCACGCCATCGTACATCTCCTCCTCAATGCCCTCTGGGATCGGCTCTCGGTTCATCTGTCTGATCACCTACGGACAGCAAAAAGGAAAACAACGCTATCCGCTCAGCATTGACGCTGAGTGGTACTCCATTGTAGCACAAGAATAAACATAATAATTCAACAATTAAGATCGTGCATATGTTTATCCTTTTAATAAAAATCAATTCAACTTTACATTCGGTTCTTTAGACGGTTGACCAACAGTCAACTTATTTTCTTTCTTTTCAAAACGATTTAGGTGTTACGGGTTT